ATATATTAAAAGCAGCTTCACAGAAGGAGGAAGCTCTGAATTCCATCGACCCTTAACTTGTGACTGCTGGTGAGGATACACAGTTAGTCACTGCACTATTTATGACTTCTGCTGTTAATGTCTGACCTCTTGTGGACAATGAGGCGCACTGAGGTGAACGAAGTAACGAGCACGGTAATGAGCTGCTGCAGCCACTGCCACAGACTGTTGGCTTCAGCTTTTTTTTACAGTGTGATAGTTTTTTTTTTTTCCCCTCAGTGGTGGGAGCTGCATTTGCACCTCTATCTGGGCAAAATAGATATACATTTGCAGGGATTTGTTTTAAAGTGTGGTTGGGAACAGCTGCGGGAACTACTCATTTGAATAAACAAGCCTGATTTTGTACAAGGGGAAAAAGAAAGGCATAGTATACCTCAATTTCTACTAAAACACAGAAATAATCAAATACCACAGAGGTAAGGCATCTCTAAGTGTCTCTTAGAGCATGATTTGAAGATTGTGGATTAGGATCTTACATTGCTTACCAAGGTTTTTGAATTGGGATAAATGTGTTGAACATTATGTGTGATGTGTATGGAAGACAGCAGATAAACAAAAATTAAGGAATGGCTAAAAACATTAATTGAATAATCCGATCAATATGCTTGAATTTTGAAATGCAGCACATGTAGACAATGATATTCCCTTAATTGCTTGTTTGTTTTTTTAAGTAAGCCTTTTTTTTCGATTGTGAATATTGCCAACACAACAGAACTGTGTGCAGTAGCATCACTTCACGGTTTAATGTTTAAAAGCCTTGTAAATTCACCCACATAAAATCCGTCTTTGGCAGATGAAAGGGAAGATTAAAATAAGTCAAATGCATTTTGCTCTGAGGAGCACTTGTTTTATCAGCATGGTGTACAGGGCGGTTTGCTTGCAAGCTAAACCATCTTGGTATCATATGGCCACTGCTGTAATTATCTGGATGCTTTGATGCACCTCCACGACCACAGTGCCTAGAGAGTGTGCTCAGAGTCTGAATGCTCCGAGTAGGTGACACTTGAAACGCACCGTATGAATATGAATTTTTGACTGTGCTCTGCATTTACAAATAGTAGGATTTGGTTCCAGGAAAGTCTCCAGTGATTGCCGTGCCAATCACTCTCAGTATTTGAACCAAGGGGAAAGGAATGAAATGCAAAAAAAAGCACCTCTGCCTTTGTCTCTGGCTACATATATGAAGCATCAGTGTCTGCAGTTCATTTATTCTTGTTATTCTGGTGCAGGCAAAATATGTCAGACCCACAAATGACATGTATGCCAGCGTGAAGTAATATATGTTATGAATGTATGTAGTCAGGCCAAGAAGCAACAAAGTCCTATTTTATGAAAAATGTTGCTTCAAATCAGCCAACTTTGTGATCGGAGTCTTATTAAAGCCAGCTCACCTAAAGATAGAGGTATTATGTGAGTGCAACTTTTTCAAATCACTATGGAAAATACTGCATACATATTGCTGGGCTTTGATTTATGGATTTACTATACTGTATATATGGAATGAATATGTGGGAAAAAACACATAGCCAAGAAAATGGTTAAAATCCAACTGACAGCTAGTGAAGCTAAACCATTAGGTGGCAGCCCAGCACTTTTCTGCAGGGCTCAGGACCTCTTGGCTCCATGCTGTCCAGTCGTGACCTTTCGTTATACATTTTGAAGAAAATCTCAACTCATCACTGCACAGAGCTACTTGTGCATAATGCCGTCCACGAAGTTCTAATAACGGTCTAATATAGATCTAATTTTAATGAGGTGCAGTTTATAGATCAGATCTTTCGCTTTCTTGGGCCTTTCATCCGAAACAGTCTCTGCGGTCAGCAATTTGGGCACTGATGTAACAGGAAATACATATCAAAGAGAACTTTGAAGTCAAGTAACCGAACAGTAAATGCAAAAAGTGTGAAGGAATAAAGTCTTATTGTCAGTGACAACTCTGAAGGTCAGTAGTATTTCAATAACTCTATTGTAATGGTGTGCCAAGAGTAAAAGAAAAAAAAAAGTCAAATAAATGAATAAATAAATAAGAATGAATAAGAGTGAATTTAAAAATTACGGCCCACTATATTCCTGCAGGTTATACTGTAGCCTTGACTTCTGTGGGCAGCAAAATTTCACCGGGAGCTCACTGGAACTGCCTTGAGAATAATGTCACACCCTTGACTTGAATCACAGAAAAGTCCAATTGAACTTTCCTATGAACCTGCCTCTTCTAAAATCTTGATACTGAATGTTGTAGGGTAAGAAATGCATGAGATGTCTCAGTGCTCCTAGACACAGCTTGGCTGAATTCAGTGGTTTGCAGATTCTATATTCATGGGGGAGAAATACTCTTCTTAGCCCTTGTAGTTATATAGTTGTTGCCTCTTCCTCATCATGTGCTCAAGTGTCCTTAGTGAGCGCTGGATTTACGTCCTGATTGACTGTCTCCATAACAATCAAAGGGATGATTGGTTCATTTAAAAGTGTTTTGAAGAGCCTTGTGTCATGTCTCCTACTCTCTATACTACTGGGATCCTTCCAATCCTTTACAGTTACTGCTCAGTGGAATGTAGAAATATGTTGTACTGGACTTTTCCTCCTTCATGGTTATTACTTTTTTTGGATTTGTGACTCAAATCCCATGCTCTATTTTGAGTGATTTATACATATGAATGAAGATTTATGCCTGTGAGCTCAATGTGCCAGTATTATCCAATCAAACTGGGCTGCTCACTGGCTCCTGAGATTGCATTAAAGTGTAATATCAATGCAGCAATCCCTGGGTTATTGCCACTTTGAAATACCCGGTACCTCCGATACTGTAGCCACGTGTTATGATCAGGGGGGGATCTGTCTATTTATGTGAGGTTTCATGGGAGATTGCTGTGGTAAATTAATCAGAAGTTGCCAGCCATGTTTAATTCATTTGATCAATGACTGGATGAAGCTGGGGGAAAAAAAGAAAAGTGTCAGTGCATTCGGGTGACCACAAAGAAGTAAGGCACACAGAATAACCAGACAAGACCTAGAAATTTAATATTACTTATTTCCTGAAGTGTTCTCATCAGAGAAGATGCCGCTATCATTTTAATGCCTCACCTTAGGTTTCTAAAGTCTTCATAAACATAATTTATTATTCCAGCGGCTTGTAAAATTGTAGTTTATAATTTGATGACATTGAAGGCTATCCTGCAGAATGTTAGAAAATGGTGCCAAGAAAGAGAGGACATTAATTCTTGGGTAGTATTCTGGCTCTGCAAAGTGGTGTGCGGGAAATCACATTCCATAACTTTTTCTTATTGTTCCTTCACAATTTATTAATGAAGGATTTTCAGTTTATTTGGGAAAAGAAGATTGCCTTGAACCCCAGTCTTTAAATTCTTCTGTTTAGTGGGCAAATACTATAAAGCCCCAAGGACCTGTAGTGTGCAAAACATTGAGAATAGTCTGCCTGAGAATCTATCCCCCTAGTGATTTACCGATGTTGACTGTCTATTCTAATCTGCTTGCTTTTTAAACTCTCTGTGTGGTTAAGCATTTAAAACGAGAAACTTCTTAGTCCTACATGAGACAGCAGCTTTGATGTCATGATCGCACTATTATTTTATGCAGCGACCCAGTGCTATAAGGGCTATTTCATGCAGTAATGATTTTTGTGAGGAGAAAAACCTGAACTGACATTGGCACATTTTTCCTTTTTTTCCCCACTCCCCTGTAGGAAAATGGCTTTCTTAGCCTGCAATTTATCCAATTACGGATTTACAGCAGTGCAAAGTCAACCATATGATACAGCCTAAGTCTATTTTTCAGCCTTTGGAGCAAATCCAATCATTCCAAATGGTTGCTGATGGTAATAATTGCAACAGCATCACATTGATCGAGTGGGTCCACGGGGTGGAAACAAACAAAGCACACTAAGAAAAGGAGATGGTGTTTTTGTGTGTGTGTGTGTGTGGGGGGGGAGGGGGGGGAGGTTTGTTATTATGGCCCTTGTAAAAAAAATAATACTGAGGCATTAAAAGATGGACTTTAGACTTTATCGGTTGCTGATAAAGAAAATGCTCACACCAATGTCCCAACTTTATTTATTCAAGACTTGAACGTAAAGGTAAAGGGTTACTGCGCTTTCTAAAATCAGAAGGACTTATGGGAATGACACGGAAAATTTATAGATGATCCCCATGTAACAGCTAGGTACACGCATATCATAGTTCTTGGCTACTCTTTGTATCCTTATAGAACTTTATTAACAGTTTCAAACAACACCAATGATTAGTTTACAAAATGCTGAGTAATGAACTTCTAAGTAAGAATTCAATAAAGAACTAAACAAAAGGCACACAAGTCTAGTCAATGGCAGTACAATGACCAGCTAAACAGTTTACTCTAAAAAAAACTGCTTAATGGAAACTAATTTGAAAAATCTTTCAGTCATCCTTTACAAAGTGTGTTATCCAGATCACTTCTAGACTGTTTCTGTATCTGTGTTTACTGTATGTTCCACAGCCCTGCCACAGATTGGCGATCTGTCCAGGGTGCAGCCTACCTCCAACCCTGTGACAGCTGGGGTGAGCTCCAGAGGCTTAATACTTAATTGTATACATGCTGGTGCTGAGAGGAGTATTAGAAAAGATGATTGAGTCATTGTGACTGTTATTGCTCTGCTGCAGAACAGCTTGCGGCGAGGCTTTTGGTTTTGGTGGTGTCAAAACCAGCATTTATTTTGCCACCTAC